TGACAACTTCAATCTTTTCTCCATTTATCATGATGCTGCTCATTGGTCCAGTTGTGAGGATTTTTGTTTTCTTTATATTGAGGTGTAATCCAGACTGGTTTTGTGTATATGCCCTTAATTGAGGAATTTTTACTTTATGCCTATATTGCTGACCATTTTTATCAAGAATGAGTGTTGGATTTTGTCAAATGTCTTTTCTGCATCAATTCATATGATCATGTGGTTCTTTTCCTTTGCTTTATTTATGTGGTGGATTACACTGATTGTTTTTCTAATGTTGAGCCATCCTTACATATATGGTATGAATCCACTTGGTCATGATTTTTTCTTTTTAATATATATGTTGTTGGATTCTATCAGCTATGATCTTGTTGAGAATTTTTGCATCTACGTTCATGAGGGACTGGTCTTTAATATTCTTTTTCAGTGGTGTGTTTGTCTGGTTTTGCTATGCTTGCTCCATAGAATGAGCTTGGGAGTATTCCATCTTTTTCCATGTTCTGGAATAATTTGAGTAGAACTGGTGCCAGCTCTTCTCTGAATGTTTGGCAGTATTCACCAGTGAAGCTATCTGGACCAAGATATTTTTTGTTCGGAGTTGATTTATGACTTGTTCGATTTCTTCTTTTTCGATGGGTCTGTTCAAAATTTCTACCTCAGATTGTGTTAGTTAGGGTAAGTAGTGTGTTGTAGTATACTTCTTTCTAGAAGTCCCCTTCTTTTAGGTTTTCAATTTTCTTGAAGTACAGTTCTTCACAGTATTCTGTTACTATCCTTTTTATTTTAGTATGTTCTGTTGTGACATTGCCTATTTCATTTCTTATTTGTATTATTTGCATCTTCTCCTTTTCCTTTGTTAAATTTTCTTTGTTAAATTTGCCAGTTCTTTAAAGTCTCTACTGTTGTTGTGGAGTTTTCTACTTCTCTTTTCAGTTTTGATGAAGTGTGATTTACGTATCCTGGGGCTCTTACATTGGGTGTGTAGATGTTCATTATGGTTATGTCCTTTAGTTGGACTGAACCATTAATCATTATAAAACGTCCTTCCTTCTCTCTTTTGTTGGTTTTGTCTTAAAGTCTATTTTATCATGAATTAATATTTCTACTCCTGCTCTTTTTTTGGTTGCCATTTTCTTGAAATACGTTTTTCCATCCTTTGATTTTTAGCTAATTTTTGTCTTTGTGTCTAGGGTGTGTTGACAGCATATTGTTGGGTTATGTTTTCTTATTCATTCTTCTATTCTTTTTCTCTTGACTG